GCAATAACACTCGGTTTTCCCCTCCACTCCCACAGACCCCTTGCCGCTGCGAACCATCCAAGCTCCCTCCCTCACGCTTGTCTGATTACAACCACAACCCCCCTACGGCCGTTCGTCGCTATTGCAACACACCGGTGTCTGTATCTCCTCCACTGGGCACATGAGGGCAATCTGCGCAGTTCGAGGTTCCTGGAGCATGCACGGAGCGTGGTAACGTTCACGACACACGAGACACATACTCCCACAATCGGCAATTTTGAAGGACGGCTACTTGCTGAGCGTTGCTCTAGCAAACGAAAAGGGAGATTCTTCTTCCTTAGTGCTTGTCACCTTGCGTTGAAGCTCGTTGGCCTGCTTCTCCGCTCCGCATTTCTCGCTTTCTCATCTGCCGTCTATCTCTCTCCCTTCCCTCTCCCTTCGGTCCCTTGTATAGTCTTGTACATTGCTTGACCGTATTGCTGTTTTCGAGTAAACGACCATCATATTCTCTTTCTCTCTCCCTCTTACCCATCCCTTTCCTCACCTCTTCTCTTTACTTCTCCTTTCTTCTCTTCTCTCGGTAAGTTTCCCCCCAAAGGAATCCTTTCATCTTGGACAGCAGGGAGGTGCTGCTTGAATTTCCCGAAGATCGCTTGGCTAATCGTATGACTGATCCTCGTGCAGCTTTATACCTTCTCCTCCGCCATTGCAGGCAGCTCGTGCCCATCTGCAAATACGGGTTGGCATATATTATTCTTCTTTTGCTTCGTGATATCTTTCACTTGTGACGGGTCTGTGTGATTCGTGCGCAACAATAGAAGGGCGATATTGATATTGCTTGATTACTTGCAAATATTTTGCGGCCCGTCAGGATACTTTTTTTTTTATTTTTCTTTTTTGTTGATCTGTTATCCTTGGTGGTGACAGTGGAATGGCCTCTGCCATGGCAGCAAACTCAACCACGGTACATAATGTAGGTCTCAATGGCAGGATTAAGTCGGACAGACCATTGATTGCTGCGATACAGGTACGATCAAACAGAGCTACAAACATGTCCGCATCGGGTATGAACAGTGACCGATCACGAGGGCCTCACGCAGGTATGGGCAAGGGTTTCGGGGCTGGAAAGTCAAGCTGGAATTCAAACATCTGGGGCGACAACCTGGGAAGTGGATTCGATGGTGAGTTGATGGATCGAGCTCGCGATATTTCTATTTTGTCCCTGCCTAGAACCATTGAACTGACGGTATAACCTGAAGACCAGAATCTTGCGGAAACTGCTTTCGAAGGAAAATCAGGGTCCGGCTCCTTACTGCCTTCCTCCGAATCTGACGGATGGAGTAGTCGGCCGAATCTGCCCTGGAACACAGTGAACACAACGTCGGCTTCCTTGTCCAGAGGCCAAAACAACGGCATGACTGCTTCACCCATTTCGACAAGGCCCAATGACAGGAGTGCACCCGCTCTGTCGGAGACCGCCGATTCATCGTCGTATTTCTCCATACCTAGATCTTCCGGAATCGGCTCGTCCGCTGGAGGAGGGAACCACAAAACTTACCTGAACGCTGGAACTGACGGGATCTCTCCATCTGGAGACGGGCTGTCATTCGGCAACTTTGGTGGGCTCCGGAGTGGCGACGGTAGACGGCATCCCAACTCCTCTGCCTTTGGAGGAAGCCCAGTTGGAACGGGATTTCCTATGAAGCAAGGGTTTACCACTCTCGACACGACTCGGCCCGATGAGGTAACTGGGTCTCTCACAATGTCTAGTTTACCACAGACGTTGCCAGACACCATGTCGCAGCCGTTAGCTCGTAACGGTTTTGCGCATGCGTCGCATAACTCTGCATCAGTTACATCTCAGAGGCCCACCCATGCCTCCCACCCGTCGTTTCATTCTGAAAGCCAGGGATTTGAGGGCCGCTTTGGAGGCTCCACCATGGACCTGAGTGCTGGAATCAATAAGCTTCAGCTGAATGAAGGTGGCTTCTCCGGCCACCCAGCAAGCCGTCCGCCCTACCTGTCCCACTCGTCCTATGATGGGTCATTGCAACGCTTCAAATATCAGAGCACTGCCGATGAATCCAGCTATGAAGCAGTCGGGGGATACGCGGGAGATGGTTTGCCCGAGTTGCCATTAGGACACCACGCCGGCCGATCCCGTCTTGGTGAAGGTTCACTTTCTCCCACAGATCTCGCGCGGATGGAAAGCAACTTTTATTCTGCTCTCGAGGCCGGCGCGGTCCCTGGGTCACATTATCGGAATGGGTCTGCCTCCCGACTGAGTGAAAACCAGGCGCTAGCCTTGGAGCGGAAGTTGCGTGCTATGCAGCACGATCAGGATCTTGCCCACGGTGCTGCAAGTTCTCTGCAACGTATTCCATATAATGCTCCTGCGTATGATCTTGCGGGATATCAAGCAGCAAGGCTCAACGCCCTGTCAGGATTCTATCCTGTCGCGCAGCTTGGTGGACTGGGCTCTGCTGGTATCATCCCCAGGGGCCATCGTGATCAAGACCCTGCCCAAGTGGTGCGGAGCCCACTCTTGGAGGAATTTCGAGCGAATAGCAAGGGAAATAAACGATACGAGCTCAAGGTATGTATTTCCGTTATCCCCTACTATTCTCAGGCTCTAAAATAAATATTAATAACCCCTGCAGGACATTTACAATCACATTGTTGAGTTCAGTGGCGATCAACATGGTTCAAGATTCATTCAACAGAAGCTGGAGACAGCGAATAGCGACGAGAAAGAGCAAGTGTTCCGCGAAATTCAGCCCAACTGCCTGCAGTTGATGACAGACGTGTTTGGCAACTACGTTGTCCAAAAGCTCTTCGAACATGGCAACCAATCCCAGAAAAAGATCCTTGCCAATCAAATGAAGGGCCATGTGCTTGCACTGTCCACCCAGATGTATGGGTGTCGCGTTGTCCAAAAGGTAAGGCTACTTCACGCCAAAGGTTGGATCTTACCGTGCATCTAAGGCTAATGGTTGATTAGGCGTTGGAACATATCCTTACCGACCAGCAGGCATCCATGGTCAAGGAGCTCGAGAATCACGTGCTGAAGTGTGTCCGTGACCAGAATGGTAACCATGTCATTCAGAAGGCCATTGAAAGAGTCCCATCCCAATACGTGCAATTCATCATCAACGCCTTCAAGGGACAAGTGAGCAGGCTGGCTGCGCACCCATATGGATGCCGGGTCATCCAGCGCATGCTTGAGCACTGTGAAGAAGAAGACCGCGAATCCATCTTGGCTGAGCTTCATGCTTGCACTGCTCACCTTATCCCAGATCAGTTCGGAAACTATGTCATTCAACACGTGATCGAAAATGGCGAGGAGAAGGATCGATCCCGTATGATCAACGTTGTACTGTCGCAATTACTCATGTATTCGAAGCACAAATTTGCGAGCAATGTCGTCGAAAAGAGCATCGAATTTGGTGAAGAGTCGCAGCGTCGGCAGATCATCAGCACATTGACATCCGCGAACGAGAGAGGCGAGAGCCCTCTCTTGGGTTTGATGCGTGATCAGTACGGAAACTACGTTATTCGTGAGTACTTTCCGGCCCCTCGTTTCGATGTATGGAATCGCTAACCCTAGCTTTAGAAAAGGTGCTTGGTCAGCTGAAGGGCGAGGAAAGAGAGGCTCTCATCGACCAAATCCGGCCTTTGCTCAGCCAGCTTAAGAAATTCAGCTATGGAAAGCAGATCGTTGCGATCGAAAAACTCATTTTCGATTCTGCGACGCTGGGTGCTAATTCCCTGCCTCCGGCTTCGTCCACGACTCCTCCTCACTCCCACAAATCCTCCCCTCAGCCAAGCAAGCGCCTGGTCAACGATCTAGAGGACAGCCGAGCTCCTGTTGTCGGCGCGGCTCCGCCTACCCCTCCTCCCACTGACAACCAGGGTCATACACACGGTCCTGCTGAGTCGAAGAACCTTGCAAAAAGCACGGTGACTCCTTTGTCGGTATCCGAATCTGCCTCTGCCGCCCCCAGTGGCTCTGTGTCAGTGTCCGGATCCACCTAAAGCTACTTCAGACCTCAGACTCTGCACTTTGTTTAATTTTCTCCATTTCCTTCGTGCGAATATTTGCTCCTTTTATGTCTTTAAATGAGTCGAAACCCCAACTCTATTTTTAATATGGGCGTATACATACAGGGAACTCCCTGAGGGATATATGAGTTTCCGGCTTTCTTTCTTCGATACTTCTCCCCAGCCATTATTGTTCATGGCATGACGGCGTCAAAATTCAAGGGTCCTGGTGGGAGCTTCACTGGTTCATGTTCGACCTTCCTACATTCTTAATCGTTTGTCTTCGTCTTGTGTTTGAAATTGTGATGTGATGAAAATGAGGATATGTCTCGAGAAGTTTGTGAATGGTTCTTTCTTTGTCCAAATAGGAGGGTTCGGCGTCTTCAACGGTGAGCTAGGGATACTGGAATATCGCGCTTGACTGACCTGGCGAAACTCCGATACGGGATCATGGGCATATGCAGGAATCTGGAAATAGGTAGATTACATGAGACTTGCCTGGCGCATGAGGTGATTTTTCTATCTTGCTATACAGTCTGTTCAAATGAAAAGCGTTTGCTTGCAAAGCTGATATGAACGATTCATATCCTTAATGTAGAGGAAACATGTTGGAAATGGGCCCAAGTGGTTATCAAGGGTAACCATCACGTGACCATAATATCATCAGGTACGGAGAAACTGGAGCTTGCCACTAGTCACAAGTCCATTCTACCGGACGCATTACGCTGCGCAGAGTGTCTTATAACTCTCACAGCCACCTCATTCTCAATATCTAGCGCATTACTCCGTCCTGCTCAACATTTGAAGTTACTCCGCTTCACAGTTTCTTCGTTCCTGTCCTCCTCGACCAGAAAACATCCATCCACTCTCACGACCGCTCTCACGGCGGTCGGACTTCCACAAACAACTCTGCAGAACCGCTACTTCTCTCGCACCCGCCATAAACCACACATCAATTCCCAATCTTATAGCCATCAACCATGTCCTCAAACGTCGGCCTCTCCACCCCCCGCGGAAGCGGTACCTCGGGCTACGTCCAACGCAACTACGCCTTCATGAAGCCGCGCAACGCAGGCTACGGCGCGCCGTACCCGCCCGTTTCAGGCGCGAATGCCAACGACTCCAACCGCGGGTTTAAGCAGAGGCAGCCCGATAAGCAGATTCTGGAGCATGATCGGCGGCGCGCGGTTGAGGTGAAGGTTATGGAGGAGAGGGAGAGGCTTGAGGAGGAGAATGAGCGGATTGAGGAGGAGGGTAAAGGCAAAGGCGAGGGGAAGGTGTTGTCGGAGGAGGAGATTGAGGAGCGGTGTGAGGCGCTAAGGGCGAGGTTGTTGAAGGAGATGGAGGAGGAGGAGAATCGGAGGGGTGATGCGGGGGATGGGGAGAGGGATGAGGGGAGGGAGCGCAGGGGGTGGAGGCGTGGGCCTAGGGATAGGGAGCGGGAGGTGCCGCCGAGAGAGAGGAGGCAGTTCAAGACGTATCAAGTTCATGAGCTTGCGGAGGCGAAGATTGAGGAGAGCGAGCGGTTTAAGAAGGCGTTGGGGATTCGGGAGGATACGGAGACGGGGCAGATCTCGAGTGGGAGGAAGGATTACGAACCCAGGAAGAGGGATAAGGAGCGGTATTAGGTTGAGTTGTTTTCTTCATATGGGTTACCATGGCGTTTAGGGTGTTGAGGTGATGCTGCATTTCCTTTTTGGTCGGGATGACAAAAGGGCATTATTAAACGGTATGCATGTATTTCATCAAGCATGACTATTGTCTATCCTTGCTTCCAGGCTGTCAAAATCTATATACATCTAGGTGGCGAACTTTTCGATAACCCAGCCATCCTTTATATCTTTTCGTTGGATGACCTTCTTGGCCGGTAAGGGCCAAGAGGTACCGCCAGCTTCGCCAACAAGCGATGGAATGACCCAGCATGCTCGTCGCTGCGGGACCCCGTCCATGGGTTCTATCTTGCCGATTGGCTTGCCGTATTCGATGAGCGGCGTGCCGTGCGCGATAGCAGAGAGCTGCAGTCCGCTCGGCGCCGCAAGAGGATACATTCGGATCCTCGGGACCTGATCAGACAGCACCGAAGGCGCTGATTGTTGGAGATGAGAGTAAACCAGGTATTGCGGCATTTCCTTTGGTGAAAGGCGGGCAAGAACAGAAGACGGATGCACGTAGACAGCTTTCTCCTGAAGTTCTGTCGCCCTTCCTTCTCGAGATCTGAAGAGCGTCAGGTATGGGACATCGATGGCTCTCTTCGGTGTCCGGTCCATCTCCGGCGGAACCGGTGCCAGATCGGCGCGGATTGCAACGTTGTCGATGAACCCAGCGGTCACGATTTGCTTCAGCGCTTTGATCTGCTTATCCGTTGGCTCAGGTAGACGCGGCTCATACGCCCCAATCAGACCAGGGTTGTTTGCGCGCACAATATCGGTCAACTGTTGCCGAAGTTGCGTGGCCTCTTTGAATGCCTTTGCCCGCAGGAACATCTGATCGCAGAATGAGTCCCCATTCGAAGCATAAGCGTAGGCGCAGATCGCGGACAAATACTTCAAAGCGTCAGAAGTATCATCATGCTTGCTAAAAAGCCGCTGTGCTCTCGCGTAGTCCTTGTGGCGCTGTTCTCGAGCCGTGTCCTCTAAACGATCGGAGTTCTTATAAACCCCGTCACCCTTGTCCTCTTCCTTTGATGGAGCTGGATCGATTTGGTTTTCAGGAATGAACAAGTCTCCCACCGCTAGGGCGGAGACAAGCGCAATCACATAGGGCATGCAGCCGTGCTGGTGGCCGGTATGAAGCATTTTGCTGAACCGCGGTGATAGCGGATACGTCGACAAGCGATGGCCGATCTGTGTGATTTTACCGTCCGCGGAGAGTGCTCCGAGGTTCTTCAGCAACTTCTCGGCCTTGGCCAGACCCTGCCGACTAGGAGGTGTAGGGAAGGGGAAATTGATCACGTTATGTAGGCCCATGCTTTTCATCTGAAGCACAACGCCTTCAATGGGTGTTCTTAAGATTTCAGGGTCAGTGTATTCGGCGAATTCACCTTCGTAGATCGCGGACGAATAGAGTCGGTAGCAGTGACCTGGTCCGGTTCGACCTGCTCGACCAGCTCTCTGGTTTGCACTAGCCTTGCTGATCCAACCGATTTGGAACTTTTGCACCCCGGTCTCTAGATCGTATTGCTTTTCTTTGGCTCGCCCACAATCAAAGACATACTTGATGCCGGGAATTGTAAGACTGGTCTCGGCGACGTTGGTCGCCAGAACGATAAGACGAGAACCCTCCGGTGGCGGTTCGAAAACCTTCAGTTGTTCCTTTGTGGGCAGCTGAGAGTAGAGCGGCAAGACATGCACTCGAGTTGAGGAATCCATCGCCTCTTCCCCGAGATTGAACTCTTCGTCTTCCTCGGGATTCTCATCCAAGCCGGTGATTTCGAGGTCACTATCATCATCCTCGTTGCCAGGATGAGACAAGTCTGCACCCCCCAGGTCCAGATCCTCCGCTTCGAGTGGTGCATCGTTTGCGGAGAGTTGTACTTTTGCCTGTGTAGCTTCTCCCCGCTGTGTGGGCTTGAAGGTCTGCTTCAACCGCTTAGCTAGATGCCTGATCTCGTTCTGTCCAGTGAGGAACACGAGCATGCCTCCGGGAGGTAGCTTGCGGTGGCCCCTGCAGACCTTTCTGTAGGCTTCTTCAACATAGTCGCGATGTGTCCGTCGTGCGAAGTGTATGGTCACAGGGTACTGACGGCCTTCTGCTTGTACTAGTGGCGGCGGGCCTTGACGGAAGAGACTTGGATTCTGCGTGAAATCAGAGATCCGCAGAGTCGCAGACATGACTACGAGCTTGAGGGGTTTGATGGAGGGATCCTCTTGGCTCATGGCTTTCCGCAGGTCAATGATGCGGCTAACCATTCCAATCAGGATATCAGTGTTGACGCTCCGTTCGTGGGCCTCGTCGATTACGATAACAGAGTATTTCTTCAAAGCGAAGTCTTCGGCAATCTCGCGAATAAGGATACCGTCGGTCATGAACTTGATGGCGGTTTTGCTGGAGACGTTGCTTTCGAATCGAATCTGGTAAGCGACCCGGTCGGAATACTGTCCCAGCTCATCGGCCACACGCTTGGCCATACTGACAGCAGCAACTCGGCGGGGTTGTGTCACTGCAATCATACCCGGGTTGGGACTGTCGGGGTGTCCATAACCGGCCTCGAACAAGAACTGAGGAAGTTGCGTGGTCTTTCCGCTACCAGTAGCACCCCAGATGACGATGGATGAATTGTTGTAGATGGCTTCCATTATCTTCTGTTCTTCACCGACGACGGGCAGACCTAAGCGTGAATTTTGAACTTCTTCCGAACGGTCAACTTGCACACTGAATGCCTTGCGGTTTGGATCGCCTTTGGTGACTTGCAGCTCTAGAGGAAGCGGCTCCTCTTCAGCGACAGTGTTCCTCACGGGCCGCTTGGATTCAGGAACGAACGGCTGCTCCTCTGCTGTAATGGGCCCAGAAGGTTTGAAGCCGACAACCTCATTAATTTGTTGTCTGGCCCACTCTTTGAACGCGGACTGGCGAGGCTTGATTCGGGGTTGTGCTAACGACTCATCTTCCTCATCCTCCTCCTCCTCCCCGTCTTCTTCGTCTTCTTCCTCCTCTTCCTCATTATCACTGCCTCTATCCTCTTCATCACTTCCATTATTGTCAGAAGACGTGTCTTTTTCTCCATCCTGCACAGTTTCATTTTCGGCATCGCCTTCCGACTCTTCCGGCTCTTCATCGCTGCTACCAGCACTATCATTTCCATCATCTGAATCGAACCCTTCCCATGGAACCTCTGGCACGGATACGACCCCCGGTTTGGCCTTGGGCGCTCTTTTCCGCTTCTTCAGAACTGGGAAACCGTCCGGACCGAGTTCCAGAGGACGTTTGAGACCGCCACCAACGGCTGGGGCGGGAATCGGTGGTGCAGAAGCAGTCTCGGGAAGCTTTCGCTTAGTAGTCCCTTTCGAATCGACAAAGGAGTCGTCTGTCTCGTCGCCTGACAATTCAGAATCCGACTTCTGATTCTGCGACGTACTAACATCCTTTGTGGCGGTCGTGGGCACAATATTCTCGTCCTCTCTTTTCCGTTTTCCCAGTTCCTTCGAGCTCTGGAGCGCGGAGGTATCGACTTTGATCTTCTCAAGTTTTTTAAGCAGCTCGACGTTCTCTTCTTTCTTGAGTTTGTTTTCCTGCTCTGACGGTCAATGAAATCTGCGCAGGCATCCGTGGATCGACAAGGAACTCATAATTCACATACAATATATTTATCCAAGCGTTTTTGCTTCTTCGCAGAGATCTTCGTGTGTTGTGCCCTCAGCTCCTCTCGGAGCTTCTGCTTCCTCGCTTCCCTTTCGCTCTTGGAGATGGGCAGTATCTCGGCAGCATTTGTGTCGACCGCAGTATCGTTTGAATTGTTTTGTCGATGTTTCTGCTTTCGTTGACGGGGGACAAATTTGGGCATTGTGAATATCGATGGGATTCCCCTGCCTCAGCCCGGAGACAAAGGGAAGGAATTTTAGAAGAATAACGGTAGAGAATGGCTGATTTTGTGATTCCTGCTCCTCTGCTGTTGAAGGAAACGTGAAAAGAAAATTGATTCTGCCGGATAGTGGGGATATAAATCTCACCGCCCACAAGGCGGCATCACCAACCATCTGCGAACTGATCACCGGCATCATTTGTTTATATCTGTATTTCGTGGTAGGGTTGAAATCAAAAGTCCTCTTACTAAGTCGAAGAAGCATTGTTTCATTTTCTACCATCCCGAAACTAGATACTCAGTACCATTCGTCATGTCCAATCTTCTTGATCTCGACAACCTCCAGGTGCCACTAGACCTTCCTTTTCCTGCTGGCACAAAACAAGTCGCTGGAGTGGTAAATGGCATACAAACAGACGTGACGTGCGTCCAATTTAGCGACAAAATTCTGGTCACCATATCTCAGAACGGCCGACTTGGGCATTGGGTTCGTAGCTTAGCGTCTCCCCCTACAAGGGCTTCCAGGCTAACCATAGCTCAGCTACATGTACCGCTAGAGAATAAAAACCCAGGGGCACAGGGATTTCATACATTATCTGAATCAGTTGATGATGATCTTCTTCCAATGAGTCGCTTGATGGCCACCTCACTGCTTGGGGGTCGAGCTCCTGGACATGAGACAGTTGGTCAGCTCTACGCCCGCCAGATTGCAAGTGCTATTGCAACAAAGACACCTGACGAGAAGCGATTGCTTGTCGTCGGTCTCGGACTCGAAAGTGCAGAGGCTGACCGGGAGGTCTTTTTCGCCATCATTGATCTCGTACTTCAATGCATCTGAGCCCCGAGCCAATACTCCCAATGAACATCGAATGAGAACAGATGGCAGAAGAAGGCACACAACAAAAGCGAGTCACCTACACAGATTTATAGAGACTTCTTCCTCCTCTGCTCGTGTTCTGACCCGCTCGATCGTCAAATTGGGAATTCTGAGCGCAAAGATGAGTTGAGTCAAGCGTTCCGTCTCGTCTTCGGCCAAGCCTCTGAATATCAACCTTCCGAGAAATTCAATCCCGCCACTAAACAGAGCGCGGACCAGATCTCCCTCATCAAATCCGGGGATTTTCCATTGATTGTACACAACGACAGAAAGCTCGTGGACTCTGAGGGGCTCGCTCATTCTTAGAGTGGTGATGAACTCTGCAAACGCCCAGCGACGTTGAACTGCCAGCAGGGGTTCGGATGCTCCGATCAGAAACACGATTTTCTTGAAAGATCTTCTCCACACAATTTCTTTGTTACGACAGGGGTATTCCAACCATTGCTGGAAGACTCTGTTACGGCAGCAAGGCAACGGCGTTGGCTGACATCTGAGGAAATCAGCGGACTTCGACCCGTAATTTCTGAAAAAGAGCAGTCGATCACCCAGGGAATGATACAGAGCGATAGATGCTTCATGGTAAAACACGTGCGAGGTCCTGAGGATCGCCAAATCCCCGATTTGGTGATTATATGGACCCCCTATCTCGACATAACTGTTGTGGTGACAGAACAAGAATTCATAAATTCTGTATCGGACCTGGATCGGCAGACGAAGAAGGTGACATCGCAGGTGCCGGTTGCCCACGATAAGACTGCCCCTCACCATCTTGCAACCCTCATTGACAGCTACATCCTCGAAGGTTTCCGGTTCAGCTGGCTTGACAAGATTGGAGGCCCCCGGACGCTCATCATATACTTGTCTGAAGAATTGCACCAACAGTCTGAATGAGTAATTCCACATACATGTCAGCAGCAGAAGGATATCATATCACGCAGCCTTACACCTCTGGTCTCTGAGCCCGTGACAGCAGAGCCTGTATTTTGCTTTTCTTTTCACTCTCCGGTGGTTCTTGCTGTTGCTGGATTTGTGCGTCTGGGTCCATGTTGCCAGTTGCTTTTGCTTCAGCGTCTTCCTGGGTAGATGGAACGAGGGTTGTATTCGCGTCTTGGAGTCGAACTGTCGAGGACTGAGACTGTTGTAAATCCTTGAGAGAAAGGAGTGAGCACTTGTGAGTTTGTTGTTGCGCCGAGAGCTCTTGTGACCTGGGACAGTGCAAGCTCTGTTACTTTCAGATTGATTATCATAATACAAAAAGAATCTGAAGTCACTCATTTCACATGAGCATATTCAATCGCTGAGCTCTATTCAACTTAGACCTTCGTGCTGAAGGAAGATTTTAGAATATGATCTCTCACTGTAAAACTCTGAGAGCTTATACTAAGATAATCTACCTGTATCTTCGTAGATGTACATCAGAGACTTTATTTTCGGCAGATTTGATTTATGAGTGCCATAGTTAAGGACACACTCTAGATGTTCTCTGATATTCAGCTTCACATATGGTCACGTGTCTCAGTGAGGTTCAAGGAGCAGAATAAGCCTGGCCATCAGTTGTAACTTTCCAAGATTTCTACGTCTCTTGGTCATCGCCAATTGTTGTCTATTTTGCCAATATAATACATATTCACCAGGTGCCATAGCGGAAAGTGTCAACTGGACACAGCCTGGTGGGACGCGTAGTGTCCAAAGCCGTTTATGTGACGTCTTACCATAAACAATCACAGCACAGTCTGACAGAAGTCGACAACAAGAGCTACATTGCGGTCTCATTTGAAACCCCTTAATAATTTGGGAGTGTCTTGTGTCTACTACATTGCTGTTTTCGATTTGTCTCATTTCTGCATTAAAATAACCCGCTCATTGCAGTCTGTGATTCTTGGGCCAACAGGAAATGGAGCCAGAAGATTTAACAGACCCCGACCTTAAAGCAGCCATCGCAGCCTCATTGAGGGACCTTCACGGTAATGGTGCTAGTCCAGCTGATAGACCTCAACAAAATGTCGTCGATCTTACTGCAGAGTCAGACGATAATGAAGTCATTCCCATTTTTCCAAAGTCGAATTCAGTTATTGGGTCTGATACAGATGCTGATGAGGATGGAGTTGAAGTTGACGATGAAGACGAGGAAGATGAAGATCTGAAGAGAGCCATTGCGTTGTCCCTGCAAGACTCTGGGGATACGGAAAAGAACTCACCTGATCAATCACTCGGTAACAAACAACATGGTCCGCTCCCAGAGATAGAAAGTTCCGCAGCAGATCACAAACCTTCGCAACCATCAGGGCTCCTGGGCCTAAACCGCAAGCAGATGGAGGAAGAACGCCTCGCCCGCATTGCGAAGAGAAAGGCGGATGATGATGGGGCCATTGATCATCGCCAGGGCAAATATTCAAAGAATGAATCGAATCAGCCGGCTGGTCAAAGCAGCAGCGGTTCTGTATCAACAGAATATGCACCTAGCATTGGTGTTCCTCGAGCAAGACATAAGACTGTAGAGTCGACGCCACGCTTGCCCAATCCTTCTCGGACACCAGGCGTACAGTTCCCAAAGGGAGTTGTCAAAAAAACTTACGCGCAGTACTGCCCACGGACAGGTGACGATATCACAATCGAGGAGGTCTTTCAGAGAAGCGATTTAGAGCTGGCTATTTTGAGCTCATTTATGTGGGACATTGAATGGCTCTTTTCGAAGGTCGATACGAAAAGCACTCGTTTTCTCTTGGTAATGCAGGCTAAAGATGAGTTGACGGTGATTGACCCCCTGTCTGTTCCACTTGCGACACAATACTGATCAAGTCGGCATCAGAAACGTCAGTATGAGGCAGAAACTGCGTCCATGAGCAACTTGAGATTGTGCTTTCCACCCATGGAGGGACAGGTGAACTGCATGCACTCGAAACTGATGCTACTCTTTCACCCGGGATACCTACGAATCGTAGCTCCGACTGCGAATCTGACACCATATGATTGGGGTGAGATGGGAGGTGTGATGGAAAATGTACGGATGAGCAGCTATCTACGGAACCGTTGCTGACTCTAGCTTAGAGTGCTTTTCTCATCGATCTTCCTCGGAAGGCAGCCACAACTTCTGCGGGTTCCAAGACCGCCTTTGAGGAAGACCTGGTCTACTTCCTGAGAGCAAGTACTTTGGATGAGAATATCATTTCCAGACTCGACGAGTTCGACTTCAGTCAGGCTTCTCATATTATGCTAGTTCACTCTATGTAAGCGTCCTTTGCGCTATTCTATGACGGTTACTAATGCTGTACAGCGGAGGGTCACACACAGGAAATACGTGGAGAAGAACGGGATATTGCGGCTTGGGGCGCGCAGTCAATGCATTAGGCTTGCGAACTTCCAAGCCGATCAATATCGATTTTGTCGTAAGCAGTTCACGGGCCCAGCCAGATCCAAGCTCTCTCGACTAACCTCGCAAAGGCATCCTCGGTAGGATCACTCACGGACGAATTCTTAAGATCAATATACCTCGCTTCCCAAGGTAAGCACTCGGTCCGCTCCATCCAGACAGGAGACTAAAATCCTCCAAGGAGACGACGGTATAACCGACTTCACCCTGCGAACCTCCAAGACCTTCCCCACGCGCAATCCCAACGACAGGAACCAACTCATTCACAAAAACACCGCTGAAGAATGGAAAGATCGCTTCCGAGTCTACTTTCCCTCGCAGACGACCATCGAGCAATCGCGAGGCGGCCCAGACTGCGCCGGCACAATCTGTTTCCAGTCGAAATGGTACGAGGGTCCGAAATTCCCGCGCCATGTGCTGCGCGACTGTAAGAGTCGGCGGCCGGGACTTTTGATGCATAACAAGGTAGCTCTCCCTCCCTCTCTGAGTAATATCCGAGGTCATAATTAACGTCTTGCTCTCCAGATCCTATTCATAAGACCGGATGAACCGATACGATTACCGAATAACTCACAGTGTCGAGGGTGGGCGTACGTGGGAAGTGCGAATCTCTCAGAAAGCGCATGGTGAGTGCATACCCACTTAGAAATCAAGTAGAAGGCATTCTAATTCCAGACGCAAAGGGGCCGCCTCGTCCAAGACAAAACAACCAAGCAGCCCAAGCTCAACTGCCGGAACTGGGAATGCGGTGTCCTTGTTCCTATCCTCGACAAAGACAGCTCATCGGACAAAGTCTCGGATAGCACCAGTGGTAAAGGAGCAAACGAATCGGCCGATATGCTGGATGTTTTTAGAGATACTGTCCCCGTGCCGATGACGGTTCCTGGGCAACGATACGGGCCGGGTCTTAAGCCTTGGTTTTTTTGAACAGTCTCTGTGATTGGCAGGGTAGTTTTGGGATTTGAGAGTTGAAGATGATTTATGAAGAACGCTGTCTATGCATTATTATTGCTCTATATATGCAGAATGGATATCGCTAATCAATATCATGATCCAACAGAAATGTTTTTATGACCCCTCATTGAGATCACTTTGATCTCATCCTTGCTTCTGGGTCCTGTATCCTCATCCTCACGCCTTCTCCGACTTCTTCCTAAAAACCCCCTTGACCTTATCAATAACCAACCCCATCCCCCCAAACAAATATCCCATACCAAACGACCAGCCCCTCACACGCACCGTATAGATAAAGAAATAAACCAACAGCCAATTAATAATCACAAAAGCCAAGAAGATCCCGAAACAGCGCCACTTGTCGCCGTCGTGCACGTTCAGCGTGGCCATGTACTCCGCGCCGTTGCTGTAGGGGCAGTACTGGCAGTCTGCGCTGGCGTCCGGGTTGAGCAGGTATCCGTTCTTGGCAATGTTTGTGATGAAGTTGCCTGCGTAGTTGGCGCAGGTCTGGCCGGGTGGTGGGTTGAAGTGGGTTGTTTCTGCGGGGGCGCAGTCGATCTGGACGGTGGGGAAGATGGAGGAGATAACGCCGCGGAGCCACCAGGTGACTGGGTTGACGTAGTACATCCAGTATTTC